CGCTCTTGAGTGAAGGAAATAAGCCAGCACTAATTGAAATGCCTTGCAGAAGCTCAAACATGGCAGTATATCCAGCAAAAAAAAAAAAAAATATTATTGACACTGAAATTTAGACAAGCATTTGATGATTTGTCAGTCTCTGTGATGAACAATTTTAAAAGTTTGTGAAAAGCAAGGCATTATCTCAGGTGAGAGCATACCTTAAAAGAGAACAGAAACTTCTTCAATTTAAGATGCCTTATCACATAGCTCTGTTTTCAAGGCTAAACACACTGATCTTTGCAGAATTCACCCAGATGTGTACTATTGGTCAAAAGAACCCAAGTTATATCTAGCAACATGTAAGGGTTGGGGGTTTTTTTTAGCCAAACAAACAAACACAAAACTTCTCCCTTTTCTCTCTGAATTTAAGGTAACAATTAATAACATGGCCCGGACTATCGATTTTTAACAGCTACACATTGCCATCTGCTGACACAATAAATATAAAACACTTAATTATTTCAGATTGCAACATGCAATTTCTGGAAGCAATTTCTTTTTATTTCCACAATTACATACAATTAAATCTATTCTCTTCTGATAGACTGAAACCTGCATTTGAAGTCCTGAAAGGTCTCCCAAATAACTGTTCTTAAAAATCTTTTTCATTTAAAATATATTTACAAGGTGCTGTCTGTAAGCTGAAGATTGAGCAATCAGTTTTCAAACATAATAGTAATGGCAGAAAGTAATGACAATCAATATTACTGTATGTAGCAGAATCCCCAAAATAAACACAGTGTTCACAAAATGAAGAACAAGTAGACAAGGGTATGAAAATATCTGGGGCCTTTCCCAGAAGCTAATTTACTTGTGGTCTATTTACAGGTTTTGTTTAAACTTAACTATGGGTGTTGCTGTTCCACAGAGTCTTATTTGATGAATAAAAGAATTATTTCTCTCCATCCAAAACACACCCTTGTACCTAAGCCTGTGTAAACACTGTCCAGAAACAGTTATACCTCCCAGCCTTTTGGGGGAATTCCTGGCACACATAGCCAGGCCAGATTCAGTTGCTCTGAAAAATACAGAGGTGATTGAAAAGAACCAAGACATTGATCATAAAGTCCAAACTTTGCTCTCAGGCACAATATGCAGCAGTAGAAACATACTCACAGCATCACAACTGAAACCCCCCAAAATCCCCCAAATTATTTTAAAGATGCCTCTGACCTTAAAAAGATAGAACTTGTGATCCTCTTTTTCCCCTAGCTTCTCTTGCAATCTTCGTACTAAATGTATGACGTGTTCCTTGCATGAAGCTGTGATGAGAGGTTCTCCTTTTTGAATTTCTTCTACTAAGGCTATGGCATCTGTGCTAATTATGAGGAGAGAAAAAACAAACAAACAAAAAAACCCAAAAATCCAAACCCACCAGATTTCATCCTCTTGCAATAATTATGTTTATAAAAGCAAGAAAATTATTTACTTGCAGAGAAACTGAAGTAAGCAATTCAATGATATGGACTTATCTCATTCTGCAACATTTAAAGAAATATGGGTAAATTTTTCTTGGTTTCTATACTTCCCTCTCTCACTAAAGTTGTTCAGTATGATTTAACTTTTACAAATTTTAGCTTGGCAAAAATTTTACCTTTTCAAAGGGTTTCCACAGAGGGTCAGACACGGGAGTTGTGTATCCAAAACTGATAGTTTTAGAATAAATACCTAAATTAAAGTGGAATTTCAAAAATTCCCAATGAATTGCACATGGAGTAGCAACAAGGTAAATTATATAAAGCAAGTATTAAAATGACCTCTGTCTGTGGCTTCACAAATCTATGCCTATTCCTATAACTCTTAGTTATGATAATAACTTCCAAAACATGGGTCTGCAGTCTGATTCCTGGCCACCCATGAGAAACTGAGGGCTGACAATACTCGGCAGTCAAAGCACCAACGTACACTTAAAACTGGTCCTAGCAAGAGAACCTTGCATTTCTGTTAGTATGTAAATTATTGCAGTCTAAAGAGGATTTTCTATATCAGTCCTCTAAATGGGAGCCACTAACATCCCCATAAATTAGCATCCTCTCAGTTATACTCCTGTTAAGTAATACCAGACAACTTCTGCTGGATGTTTCCAGGTAGACAAAAACATATAATTTATAAATTTGGATTTTTCATCTTGCATGTGCAGCTTACATTGCCTACTAACTTTGGCCCACATGCAAGGTACAATTCTGTATCAATGTCAATATTAAGATAACCGTATTACTTTATGCCCTTCTGCTTAATAAACTCCATGAATTTTGGCACCTTTACATAATGGTGGCATTTTTTTCCTCTTTCTGAAGCTCTTCCTACCAGAGCTGGCTGAGTAGAGCATGTAGGCTGACTACTATGACCAAAACCGTATTAAGGCACTCAGCTTTCTCTTAATTTTTTCTTTTGGGTGCCTAGAGGAAGCCATTAGCTGGAGGAAAGCAGAAGAAATAGTTTGAGAGCTGCATAAACCTTGATAATCTTTCCATGGTGCTTGATGCCAGCCAAAAAGCTCTGTGAAAAAATCCACTAGACATGACATACAAATTCATGAAGTGTTCTATATTTTTTATGTGTACAAATAACTGACAAGAGGAAGTGAAGTAGAGGGAGCCAGACTTTTCTCAGTACTGCCCACTGAGAGAACAAGCACCAAGGAGTACAAACGGGGGGGGGGGGGGAAAAAAAAAAAAAAATTCAATCTGAACACAAAAAACCAATTTTTTTTTCCTGTAAGGGTTGTCAAACACCAGAATAGGTTTCACAGAGAGATTGTGGAGTCCGCATCTGGGAGATACTCAGAACTCAACTCACATGGTCCTGGTCAACCTGCTCTAGCTGACCCTGCTTTAGATGCTCTCAATGCTCTTCCAACCTTAATGATCTTCTGATTCTGTGACATACCATCATATTCTGTCACTGAATGCACAAAATAGCTGGTCAGATAACCTCTCAAGCACTAGTGCACCAATTACATGTAGCAGTATTAAACCTAATTCATCATAGTAACTTGTCAAGTCAACGTTCTCATTACAACAAATTTGTCCTATTCCTCACAAGGAAGACATAAGAAAGTCTCAGACTGGTGCCTTCCAACTGTCTTGAGGATTGTCCTCCACAATGCAAGTCTCACTTGCTTCCTCATTAAGTGACCTCTGCCTTCTATCTTACCTAAAGATACCCTGTCAAACTTAAATCTAAACTTGACTTGTATTTTTTATTCTTCAGTTAGTCCAATCCCTGATTTTTAGATATACCAAGCTCCTGCAATTTCTTTCATCATCTGTAGGAGACTAGAAAATGAAATTATGCACTGTTACTTGTTCTTTCAAAGGAACCAACTGCAATTAGATTCGTAACAAAATAAACCAGAAAACTTCCATTACTTTCAAGAGAAGCAGATACTTCATTTCTCCACACAAACTTATAGGGAGGGAATCACTTACTTGCCTGTCTTACACCACCTTACCTACGGTTGTTATGAGGATTAATTAATTAACAGGAGAGATCTGAACTGATATCTAGTTGTTATTTTCAGCAATTTCAACAGAGGTCATTTAAACCAATGTAATTGGGGGCTGAGTGAGACCCACTTTTTGAAAACATTCTGAAGACCAGAGAATAGCTAAGAACTGTCATTCATCACAACATTACAATATTAAGCACTGCACATTTCTGCTGGCTTTGAACAGGCACCTTGATAATCGTGACTCTATAAGAAAAAAGAAGCTTCACCTCTGAACAGAAAAGCTTAATGGTGATAATCAGCTGGAATGGAAGATTCTGTATTTAAAATAGTAGGAGAATGATTTGACTATGTTATTTTCTTTTCTGTGTGTGTATTTTAGTGAACAAAGACATAGCTGACCTTAATTATCTTTAAAATAATCAGAGTTGTATCTGAGCATGCTATAAAAGAGCAGAGAGTGCTGTTATCTGAAATAATATCATACTTACTCGGGCCTAAGATTAAGTAGATCTATAGATCTGGTCTTTGGCTCACCACCTTGTACATATTCCAGAATAATCCCTTTAAAAAAAAAAGTGATAAAAAGGTCTTAATTAGATGTCCAAGATTTTATAATGTACACTGTAGACTGCAATGCTTCCACTTTTATTGCTCCACTGACTTCAGGAGACCTACTTCCAGTTCTTGAAACTAGAAGGAGGTTAGCTGTTCTTGCTGAGAGTCAGCAGGGTGATGAACAAGTCTGATGTGTTCATATGATAAAAGATATTAAACATTATTATTTATGAGCAATTTTCTATTCTGGAAATGAACAAGCTCTTTTTTCCCCAACAGCTTTTTGCATTATTTCTTCAGCTCTACTTTCAAAGAAGCTGTCCCAAAGATACTTGCTGTAGTTTGGTGTTCCAAGAAGCCTGGAAAACACATTTTACAAAACCTGTTATATTTATTTCAGTGTTTGCAAAGGCCTGTGTGCAGTAATTGTGGCTCTCAGTAATGTATAGAAAATCATAACACACTTTCCATTTCTAGGTATGCTCTGGCACCTCTGTACCTTCTACTGAGCTGAAGTATTAAAATGTTTAACCGCACTGCTTCCTGTTTTGAAACAGCTGTTAAAGGGTTCTGCTGCTCCTTGGTTTTCTGTGGGAAAGGATAATTTAGGTGATTTTTTTATGTCATTTTGCATTTTACCAAGTCTGTAAGGAAAATATTTAATTTGAAAGAAAGATCTGTTATTACAATACACTTCCTGAGCTGGCCACCTCCATCTTGTCTCACTCGTGAGAATTCATTAAGTCTCCTAACTGAGTTCATAATAAATGATGAAGACCACTTCGCAAAACAGCTTTGCAAAGCTTGGTTCTGCTCAGGAAAGTCACAAAACAAAGAAAGGAAAAATAAGAAATAAAACTTTTTGCTAAACAGGCCTTTTGATAACACATACACATTTTTGGTGCCAACCACTACCACTTTTGACTTTTTAAACTCCTTACCGAGATGCAGATAAGATTGCTTTGATTTTGCAATGATAAATCATCAATTACAGCTCAGATCGGCAATGAGCAGCTTCCAGCTGGAAGTCTCTCAAAAAACGGCAGTGCCAAAATACCCGCACCTGAAGTCAATCCAGCTGCAGGTGCACGATCCACCCGCTTTCTCCTGCCCGAGCCATGACAGAGGTGAGGAAGACCTCCATTACAGCAGACCCTCACACACACGCACTCCCGCCTGCCACACGCCCAGCGGCAGTCCCCGCACGCGGCCCCAGCCTCGCC